GATGGCCTCCAACCTACTGGCGATGGGCTCCAACCCACAAGCGATGGGCTCCAACCTACTGGCATGGGCCCCAACCTAACCTACTGGCGATGGGCTCCAACCTACTAGTGATGGGCTCCAACCTATATACTAGCGATGGGCTCCAACTTACTGGCGATGGCCTCCAACCTACTGGCGATGGGCTCCAACCTGCTAGCAATGGCCTCCAACCTTCTAGCGATGGACTCCAACCTACTAGCGATGGGCTCCAACCTGCTAGCAATGGCCTCCAACCTTGTAGCGATGGACTCCAACCTACAAGCGATGGGCTCCAACATACTAGCAATGGGCTCCAACCTACTGGCGATGGGCTCCAACCCACTAGCGATGGCCTCCAACCTACTAGCGATGGGCTCCAACCCACAAGCGATGGCCTTCAACCTACCAATAAAATAAATGAAACTGAGTGGGGAAAGAACAGTATCGGTATTCAACTCTTCCGTGGTAGTGTCCGGGAGCGGACGTTGGAACTAGTTGGTCTGAGATTTCAGGGAACGTGTAAATCGGTCCGAAACTTCAACATCGCAAGCCATAGAGTTAATGATATGTATAAATGGGAAACACATGCAGCATTTGAGCCTGCGTCCTTGCGCGGCTGCCACGCCATCGTGCCCCAATATAGCTTACAGCATAAATACGATCCCGCGCTCTGCTCAGGCTGCGGATGGGACCAAGGACAATGCGCGAAAGAAAACGAAGCGCTCTCAAGGCACGAAGCCTCCTGCGGTTCCGTGCGCAGTGGAAACTCTCTCGTGCTCTGTGGTGCTCGGGCTGACATCCCAGCTCCTGTAAGCCACTCTTCTTGCAGAAAGGGCTCGAAACCTGACTTCGCAGTTGACTGGGACAAACATGCAACTTGAGGCTTAAGGCAAGAGACATTGTATTTTCCGTCCGGCAGTCCTAGCCCCAAACCATCTTTGTAATCGCATCCGGGCACGACAACGATGGCGCAGAACTCTCAATGCAACACACCTGCCCGGTGGGTGTTGCGCGACTGGTTAAACATACTGTAGCTCATGAGGAAGCAAGCAAACTCCACACAAACAGCATAAAATGGGGGTAGGGTATATTACTGTAATGAACTGGTTGGGGATACTACATCTACATACCAGTACATGATCACTATATACCACTACCACATATTGATTGCATCCTAGCCTAAAGCTTCGCCAATACCTTTGCAGCCGCAAACAGGCTTCAAGTCTCTTTTTGGCCTTGGCTTCCACGTCTCGTGTGCAACAATCACAGCCTGACGGATTTTGCGCTTGGGTTTCCGGCCTTCTTCTGGTAGACCACTGTCGTC